CAAAGAAGCATTGATTCAGGAGACAAACAGTGCCCCCAGTGGTCAGCGGTAGAACTTCAACTCAATTCAATTCAATGTATTTTTGTATAGCCCTAAAAACACATAGAGCCATTGGTCCATAAGGGGCAGAGACCAATAGCTATAAATGTTAGTAGATGTCCATGTGCTCCACAGCGCCCCCTTTGGCCACTTTTATACCTTCTGTTCTGTAATGTGTAATACAAGAGGGGAGGAGCCCCAACTTCTGTATCAATCCCTCCACATCGCTCTGAGCTCTGCCCCCTTCACTGTTCATACAGCCACTTAGAAGGCCCTGAAGACTCTACTCAGACTGCATACCAAGTTAGCAATCAACAGATATTTTCATTGAACAGAGTTTGAATATGCGACAGAGGCTCACATCTCTGCAAGCTGTTGTTTTCAGGCCATAAGTTAGCAATCAGTGGATGTATTTATTTATTTAGTATAAAGCAGTAAATGTATAAAATGCTCAGTCAAACTAAATAAATTCTAAAAATTTTCTGTTTGAGAACTTACACAAATATCTATCCGTCATATTGCTTAATTCCTGTGTTTTTATGTTATTTATTTATTCTATGTTATTTTTTTATAATTTTATGTGACACTCAAATGAATTTCTCCAGGTGGGATAAATAAAGTAGCCTGAATCTGAATCTGAAATATTTAGATTTTTGTGCAACGGCGCCTGTGCAATGCTGCAGAATCGTCCGCATATCACAGATCCAAAACCGAAAGATTGAACAAAGTTAAACAGAATTGAAAAGAATAACTAGGTAAAGACCAGGGAAAGGACATTTTGGCTCTGATGAACATTTTTATGGATTTATTGCGCATTTCTCAAAAGTTCCACACCCCAGCTTTAAGTGCGGACACAAGGAATGCTCCGAGGGGTTTTCCCACAGACTCATTAGACCCGAGGACAGATGCCGACGCAGATAACCGTCTGATCATTAACTGGACTCACGGTGAAGGACTCTCAGCCTATTTTTAGGTGAAGACAGAATTCCAAAAGTTCTCAGCTTGTGCTCGTGTTAAAGTAGTTTCCAAAGATCTTCCACGCTCCCAGTTGTATTCAGAGCCGTACTTTCCCATTCTCTCGGCTCTAATAAGTCCTGTGTGTAAACATAGAGCAGTAAAAATGACGTATTCTCGGCTGCGTTCGTGGTTTTAACAGTGGAAAAGTGTTGGTCCGGATCCAGCGGCAGTTTGCACCTCGTCTATAAACACGGCTTTATGAATGAGAGGAGTGTGCGGCGGACTTTTCACTCCGGGGTCGATTAGAGAGAAAAGTCTGGGCATGTCCAGACAAAGATTTGGATTCATTACACATCGAGTTATTTTTAAAACTATGAGAAGACAGGTTAAAGCTGGGGGGTGTAACTTTCAAAAAACAATGGGAAAAAAATATGCTATAAAATCCACGTTACTTGTTATAAATATATATAATATATATAAATATATAATAAACAGTTTATTTCGATCACTAGTTTCAACATGTATGTTTGGCCTCTGTCACATCTTTAGATCAGCTTTTTCAGACAGAAAAGTGACATAAAGCAGACCCCCCTCACTCAGCCAATCAGCTCTCAGCCCAAAGGGTCAAGTAGCGACTCACAGGGCTTTTTTGACATATAAATAGCATGTATTCTAGTGGTGGGAGAAAAAAATTGATTGACTCACATGGCTCTTTCTGACAAAAAAAAATGAGTGAGGGACAAAATCAGGGACATAGGAACTAGGAGTGTGAGCATATATCGATTTGGTGATGTATCGTGATACTTTCTCACGCAAAATGTGGTTAAAAGGCAGTTCACTTTAATGTAACACATGACACTTTATCCATTTATCTAGAAATAAAGTGTAATTTTTCACTTAAGATTATATTTTTCTTATATTTATGGCATAAATTAAGTATATTTTTGACCAATATATTGATAATCGCTGCATCGTCATAATGTGAGATAATCGTGAGCTTTGTATCGCACATCGTATCGTATCGTGATGTACCCTGAGGTTCCCATTCCTAATGAGAAATAGACTCTTGTTCCCTCAGTCGAGCCCAAAGCGGTGGCAGATCATTTTCAATAAAAAAAATCTATGTAATAAAATCTATCTATAGTACCTAAAATATTCCTAACATTCCAAAGAGTCAAATAGTGACAGGACTCTTTCTCACACAAAAGATGATGTGTTATCTACTAGAATTAAGACATTTTACTGAAATAGTAATAATAATAATAATGCATTGGTTTTATACAGCGCTTTTTGGACACTCAAAGACACTTTACATGTCATTATTCTTTCACTCTGTACACGGTGGTGATAAACTACTACTGTAGCCACAGCTGCCCTGGGGCACACTGACAGAAGCGAGGCAACCAGTCTGTGCCATCGGCCCCCCCCACCACCACCAACCATTCACACACACACCAGACTCATTCCAGGCAATGTGGGTGAAGTGTCTTGCCTAAGGACACCACGGCAGTTTGGCACGTTACAGCCGCAGCCGTCCCACTGTGGCTGGTGTTCCCAGAGGTTAAGTGTCTTGCCCAAGGACACAACAACAGCAGACAGTGGGAGTCGATGGTGACGGTCGGGCTCGAACCCACGACCCTCTGTCTCAAAGGCCAATGCTCTACCACACTAGTGTCGCCCCCAGGACTTTGACAAGCCTCTTTCTGTTGGACATGTTATTTATGGGACTAAAAGTTACATACCCCAGCTTTAATATAATCTTAGTTACAGTGATATTATGATGGAAGTCTGCATCTGCACAGGACATCCTCACATCCAGAGTTTGTTTATGTCCTGAACGACCAGCTTCCTGCTCCGACACCTGGACGTATGTGGTCACTTCCTGTGTGTGTGTGAACAGTGATGTAGGACTGTACTTTGGGAGGGGGGGTGCCCAGAGAACCCCAAACGATGCCGACTGAACAGTGCGATCAAAGCACAACTCTCCTTGTTGTTGTGCTGCCTTTGTTTTAGCTGTAATTGTGATTTTGTTTTAAGCATCAGCCCATTAGTTCTGTGATGGAAAACCTCTGAACAGCAGGTGCCACAGTGGGGCGGCTGCGGCTGTAAAGTGCCAAACCTTCGTTGTGTCCTTAAGCAAGACACTTCACCCACATTAGAGAGAGGTTCTAATCACTTGTCTGTGTTTGTAGTCTCCCTCTAGTGGTAGCATAAGGAGTTACAGCGGGAAAGGAGAGGAAAAATGTTATGGATTGTAATAAAATGTCTCTCATACAAACTGTAGAACACACTTTTGTCAAATGTAATCACACACAACAATCACACAGGCTCAACTGCAGCAGCACAAGTCCAGAGAGAGCAGAGAGAGAGCAGAGTGAGACTAGAGAGAGACCAGAGAGAGAGACCAGAAATAGACCAGAGAGAGACCAGAGAGAGACCAGAGAAAGACCAGAGAAAGAGAACAGAGAGAGACCAGAGTGAGACCAGAGAAAGAGAACAGAGAGAGACTAGAGAGACATCAGAGAGAGACCAGAGAGAGACCAGAGAGAGACCAGAGAAAGAGAACAGAGAGAGACCAGAGTGAGACCAGAGAAAGAGAACAGAGAGAGACTAGAGAGACATCAGAGAGAGACCAGAAAGAGACCAGAGAGAGACCAGAGAAAGAGAAGAGAGAGAGACCAGAGCGAGAGACCAGAGAGAGACCAGAGAGAGACCAGAGTGAGACCAGAGAGAGAGAACAGAGAGAGACCAGAGTGAGACCAGAGAAAGAGAACACAGAGAGACTAGAGAGACATCAGAGAGAGACCAGAAAGAGACCAGAGAGAGACCAGAGAAAGAGAAGAGAGAGAGACCAGAGCGAGAGACCAGAGAGAGACCAGAGAGAGACCAGAGTGTGACCAGAGAGAGACCAGAGAGAGAGACCAGAGAGCGACCAGAGAGAGACCAGAGTGAGACCAGAGAGAGACTCCAGAAAGACCAAGGTTTAGACAAGAAACTAAAGCAAAACAATGAAACACATGATCAAAACAAGGAAGTGGCCCATATGCTACAAATACACATCTCTAATATCATCTTGGCTTCTCCTGCGCTCTTAAATACATCTGAAGTCTGTGTCTCATTGACACATAGACTGCCAGCCGTTTTCGATGATTTCACTGACTTTCAAGACCAACAGAATATTATGTGCAATGACTATGTGAAATATGAAACCAGATTCTGAAAGATTGGACTGTCTACTTTCATCTGCAAAAAAAGATGTTGGTTTTTAGCTAGATTTGTTCTCCTGTAAACCCCAGTCGAATACAGGGAAGTTTGACAGAAATCCCCAGTCTCAGACAAATATGTCAATGGCAGTCAATGAGTTAAATACATCTACTGTCCTAGTTTCAGTAGGGTCCTCTGCTGTCCCTGTCTCAGCAGGGTCCTCTGCTGTACGTGTCTCAGTAGGGTCCTCTACTGTCCTAGTTTCAGTAGGGTCCTCTACTGTCCTAGTTTCAGTAGGGTCCTCTACTGTCCTAGTTTCAGTAGGGTCCTCTGCTGTCCATGTCTCAGTAGGGTCCTCTGCTGTCCGTGTCTCAGTAGGGTCCTCTGCTGTCCCTTTCTCAGTAGGGTCCTCTGCTGTCCCTGTCTCAGCAGGGTCCTCTGCTGTCCCTTTCTCAGGAGGGTCCTCTGCTGTACGTGTCTCAGTAGGGTCCTCTGCTGTCCGTGTCTCAGTAGGGTCCTCTGCTGTCCGTGTCTCAGTAGGGTCCTCTGCTGTCCGTGTCTCAGTAGGGTCCTCTGCTGTCCGTGTCTCAGTAGGGTCCTCTGCTGTCCGTGTCTCAGTAGGGTCCTCTGCTGTCCGTGTCTCAGTAGGGTCCTCTGGTCTCAGTAGGGTCCTCTGGTCTCAGTAGGGTCCTCTGGTATCAGTAGGGTCCTCCGGTCTCAGTAGGGTCCTCCGGTCTCAGTAGGGTAGGGTCCTCCGGTCTCAGTAGGGTAGGGTCCTCCGGTCTCAGTAGGGTCCTTACCTGCGCACAGTCAGCCTCAGGGTTCTGTAGGAGCCTTTGATGAGGATGAGCGCCTCCTGTCTGCTGCCGTACAGAACTGTCCCATTGATGCTGATGAGCTCGTCTCCCACTCGCAGAAGTTTACAGAGAGCAGCTTTACCTCCGCACTCGATCTGCAACACAACACACGGATCATAAACACACACACATACACAGATTAAAAACCCACATACACATAAAAAACGCAAACACACAAAGATTAAAAACACACAGATTAAAACAAACACACACATATAAAAAACACATCCAGATTAAAAACGCACACACTTTAAAACACACACACACATCAAGAGCAGAGGTGCAAATCCTTTCTACCGTAGCATGTGTGTGTTTGTGTAAGCGTGTGTATACGTATATTTGTGTGTATGTGTGTGTGTGTGTGTGTGTAGCCAAAGTAAATATCTATACTTGATATGAGAGTGGATATAGCTCAAAAACAAGTAGGAGCAGTGGTAAAACCAGTCTCCAATCACCTCCTTGCATTTGACCCGGTTCTGTCTCCTTTGACCCGCCTCTTTGACCCGGCCGCGGTGAGCCCGAGCCGTCATAATGACTGCTCTGTGCTCCGCTCTCACTTTGTTACTTTTACGTTTTCAGGAACAACCGTGACATTCCGAAATTCGGGAATCCCCTGCGGCGGTCAGCAGCTCAGTCACCGGACAACAAGGACGTCTGTGTGGACTTAAAGCTGGGGAACGTGACTTTAAAGCTGGGGGACGTAACTTTAAACCTGTGGGATGTAACTTTAAAGCTGGGGTACGTAACTTTAAAGCTGTAGGATGTAACTTTAAACCTGTAGGATGTAACTTTAAACCTGTAGGATGTAACTTTAAAGCTGTAGGATGTAACTTTAAAGCTGGGGTACGTAACTTTAGAGCTGGGGTATGTACCTTTAAAGCAAACAGATAAGGTGTGCATGTATGTGTGTGTGTGTGCGTGCGTGTGTGTGGGTGTGTGTGCGTGGGTGTGTGTGCGTGCGTGCGTGTGCGTGCGTGTGTGTGCGTGCGTGTGTGTGGGTGTGTGTGCGCGTGCGTGCGGAACAGTACATTGTGCAACATTATTATTAATATCTAGAATATAATTAAAAATAAGATTGATAATAAGCATAATGCAGGATAAATAATGGTGAGTTTTAACCTGTAGGTGGATAAGACAAGGGATGAATTGCAGTTATATATGGATGCAGTGTTTGAATCCGGGCTTGTTAGTGACAGTGGCAGAGAAGAGGAAAAGAAACAAAATCTACATATAATATATAGAAAAATTAGACTTCATGTGTTATTGATGATGCTAAAGTTACGTAACCCAGCTTTAATCTCAGCTCTAATACAGTATCTGTGGTGGAAGTCCTCGTGTGGACTCGTGATGCCGCGGTCTCTGAACACATGAGCCACTGTCTCCTCTGCTCATAAAAACAACATTATGACCCGACTCTTCCCCTCTGAGAAGAGTCCCATCCAGACTGAGGCCCTGTGAGCCGCTTTTTGACTGTTTGGACTGAGAGCTGCTCGGCTGAGTGAGAGAAAGAGGCCGGAGAGAGAGACCGGAGATCAGAAAGAGAGCAGGAAGCGAGAGGCTGGACACGAGAGAGAGACCTGAGAGAAACCAGGGTGAGACCTGAAAGAGAGAGACCATAGAGAGAAGCCAGAGAGAGAGGGACCAGAGAGAGATCTGAGAGAGACCCCAGGGCAAGACCAGAGAGATATCAGAGAGAGAACCGAGAGAGAGACCAGAGAGAGACCAGAGAGAGAGACCAGAGAGAGAGACCAGAGAGAGAGACCAGAGAGAGACCTGAGAGAGACCTGAGAGACTCCAGGGCGAGACGAGAGAGATACCAGAGAGAGACCAGAGGGAGACCAGAGAGAGACCAGAGGGAGACCAGAGAGAGACCAGAGAGACCAGAGAGAGAGACCAGAGAGAGACCAGAGAGAGAGACCTGAGAGACTCCAGGGCGAGACGAGAGAGAGACCAGAGAGAAACCAGAGAGAGAGACCAGAGGGAGACTAGAGGGAGACTAAAGGGAAAGAGAGAGACCAGACACAGACCAGACTGTTAGACAGGTCTCACACAGACTCTGCACATTCTAGACTCCAGTGGAAACGTCACCTCATCTCTTTCATCTCTGAAACTCTGGCTTTGTGTCCATTTGTCTCTTCACTAGGACTGCATGGTTTTGATAGGATTGTGCCAAAATCTACATTTCTTTCATTATCAACACATGCATTAAAATGGAAAGACGGCATTATGTACTTTCTTCTTTATGATGCTAAAGTTGGAGATATTTTTTTTACTTATTGTTCTTGTATCTTGTGCTGTGTGTTCCTACTGTCACTGCTGATGCAACACTGACATTTCCACTGAGGGACAAAAAAAAAGATCTTTTCATCTTAACATGTTTCTATGTGAATCTGTTTGAAAATCAAGATCGATGTGAGGACAAAAAAGATTGCCAAGCCTTATACAGCAGCTTGCAAAAGTACAAATAGAAATGTCACATGTTTTACGAACACAAAGACGACGGAGATTGTACAAAAAGATGGTAACGTGGATTTAGATTATACTCAGTCGGTTTTCTCAGGGTTGAAACTTTGAACATTTCTGTGTGACTCTGGGCTCCACAGACCATTTCCTCTGCTGATATTTGCACTGCCCTGATGGGACTTTGATTACAGCTTACAGAGGAAAAGTGCAGTTTGAACCAGAGAGACTGAGGAGCGCTGCAGCAAACAGGACTGAGCCTAAACGCCGTGGCTCTGTGTGGATGCCACGTGGGAAAGGTTGGCGTGTTGTTTAGACTCGGGCTGAAAGATACTGTTATTGCATCGAAATCAAAGATATGACTGTCAATAACATAAGATAAAACAAAAAATGAAGTAATTTCCAGACTATAGGTCTTTTGTGGGAGTTGAGGATCTGGTCTCTCTCTGTTCTCTCTCTATGGTGTCGCTCTGTCTATGGTCTCTCTCTATGGTGTCGCTCTGTCTATGGTCTCTCTCTATGGTGTCGCTCTGTCTATGGTCTCTCTCTCTGGTCTCTCTCTATGGTGTCGCTCTGTCTATCGTCTCTCTCCGGTCTCTCTCTCTCTCAGGTCTCTCTCTCTCTCAGGTCTCTCTCTCAGGTCTCTCTCTCTCAGCTCTCTCTCTCAGGTCTCTCTCTCTCAGGTCTCTCTCTCAGGTCTCTCTCTCAGGTCTCTCTCTCAGGTCTCTCTCTCTCTCAGGTCTCTCTCTCAGGTCTCTCTCTCAGGTCTCTCTCTCAGCTCTCTCTTTCAGCTCTCTCTCTCAGCTCTCTCTCTCAGCTCTCTCTCTCCGGTCTCTCTTCCCTTGTTTATAAACTTGTAAATGTGTGTGTCATTTTCTATTGATGTTTTTTCTTGTTTGTTCTTTGTGTTCTAAACTCGTAGAATGTCTCCAACTCCAGGGGTTCGAACACATTCTTTGGACTCTGTATCAAATCCTCAAACCAAACTGAACCAACACGACTTCTTTCCTTTGGTCTGAAACTTGTGGCTTCAGCAGAAGTTGGAACTCTGTTGGGACCACAGCTTTTCCGCGTTCATGTAACTGGAGAAAAAACCAACAGGACGAAGAAAACGAGCGGTTCACAAACGCACTACAAACGAAATGTGGAGGGCTCTAAAGCTGAGGGATGTAACTTTAAAGCCGGGGTATGTCATTTTCAACCAGCCTTAAAGGGCCCATATCACGGTTTTTGACTTTTCTCTGCTTTAAACATGATTACAATGCTATTTGGCCTTCATACACAAGCCCACAGTAGTTTATTCATTGATTCTGTCAATCTTTTGTAAGAGAGCAATCTGTCTCCTTCCCCAGCGTGAGGCACAGAAACGCTCGGGTCCACTTCAGTGACGAAAACCACACTGATGACGCGCATGACCCCGTTTGCTTTGTATTTAAAATAGTTGTTAAATACTTTTGTCAAAACGGGGTAAACAATACACAATTATTATGCTGTTTTTTGTCCAAAATAATAAAAATAAAAATAAATTAAAAGCCGACGGGAGGTGATTGACGGATCAAAACAGCGAATCAGAGCGCACAGGCTCCGGCTCCCGAGTCCAGCGTCTGTGGTCTGGTCTCGCGGACACCACATAGAGCTACTGTTTTTATGCTTTTGTCAGCAACTAAAAGTGTTAGGATCACGTCAACTTGAATGAAGTCTGTTATGGGTGTAAATATGGGACGCACTATTTGGCCCTAAGAGGAAGAAAGCGGCTCGACTTTTTTCATCTGTTCATCTCATGGATCTATTATAACACCGGTTCATCTGCGACACTTCACTGAGACTGTTCCAGAACTACAGGGACAATGGAACTGGACTGACTCAAAAGCTGATCTGGAAACACGTTATTCCCACGGTAAAAGACGTAACTCGGACCCCCTCGATCTGTAAGTAGTGACGCTAACTCGCTGTATACTTCTGTAAACTAAATAACTAGGGTCTGATTGTGCATCGAGGACATAGGGCTCGATGTGACGGATTGTCATTGTTGGAAAAAGTTTATTCTTATGTATGAAATTACTAAGTACAGGCGATAAACGACAAAAGCGCGATGCTACGTCACCGTGCGGGCGGGGGGCTCACAGGCAGAGGAGCAGACTCTGGATCAGCTCGTTTGAGTCGAGGTGACGTCACCTCTATACAAGAGATGGCTCTAATCTCACAAGCTTTGATTGTTGTGTGGTGTATCATACACATTAATATCACACATGTGCATAGGATTGAGTGTGAAACATGAAGAAAAGCGTGATATAGGACCTTTAATAGCAGTGCAACGGATGATCATTGATCCATATCCAGATCAATATCTTCGGTTCGGCACAAACTGATCTGTGGATAGATTTATTTAAAAAAAATGTTTTCAACGCCAACGTCTGTGTTTTGTTTGTTTTTATTATCATTTAATTTTTTTACCTAGTTTTAAGAGTTTCTCCTTGTCCTTATACCCATTGATTGATTTGAATTAAACATGGCAAATCAATTTTATAAATTATAATTTAATTATTTGAAAACGAAATGCTGATCCGAAAAATGATTTGATAGTGAGTTTTTCGGTTGTGTGTAGGGTTGCCAACTTGAGAACAAAAAAATAAGG